AGTAATCATTACAGTAATTTCATTTGGAGACTCGAGTTTCCAAAATATAGCACCACCAATAAATACAAATGCTGCTAAGAGCATTACCAGAAATATATGTCGAATTCCAAATTTATGATGATAATAGGCTATCCATGAAAACCATTGGGTAATTTCTGGAAATTATGACGTCACTGATCGATGTGTAATCCATGAGACAAGTGATAATGATGACAATCTGTAAAATATGACTAGCAAAACTTACTTTGACGACGAATTTGCTTCTTCCGCTCTTTATAACGTTTTTTATCCATTTCAAAATGAAATCCAAATGGTGATATGTTATTTACCGTAGTCATATGAGTATCAATTTTAAGGACAATGCAGTTCTCACGATCCTGAATTAGAGGATAGAGGAGAGGATACTAAGAAGAATAAATAATAATTGTATAAGAGTTAGATTGTAACAGGATGAAGTGTAAGATATACTAGTAAATGATTCTACAAGGTATCAAATCGAATTTTGAGGTAAGCGCAAAGAAATTTGAGAAAGGAATATTCTTATATTGAAAAATTAAAACCAAATAATTTCCAATAAAGTAATTTGACTCTGATTCCGATACAAAATAAAGTAATATAAATCTTACCTTAAGATGGTTAACAACGATGCGATTTCTCGTCTGTAATTCATTTTCAGCTCCTGGAAAAAGAGATTTTTTCCCAATTAAGGTCGAATCTAATTATAACGCTGCTTTAACCTAAAACTTACGTATTTCAATCTGAGCCATTGTGCTGAAATATAGGCTTCACTCGATGCAGCACAGTCAAGTTGCACCGAGCGTCAGAATATCACTTCCCCTACGTTATCGGCACGACCAAGCATTTAACGCAAGTTTATGTGATTTTTATGGAGGCATAATTGATATCCAAGTATAGAAAGACCAAAAAAAGAGAAAGAGGGCTTTTTTGTGATGCATCTGCTGTAACGGCAAATCTCCTAATTACACAGAATATTTAAGAGCAATTTACTATAAAATTTAGGAAACATCAGCTTGACATAGTGTTAAAAAAAGCCTCAATATTTCATATGTAGGCGTGCAGATCGACAGCATCGAATCATTCTAAAGAGTTAGGAATTTGTCTATTCAAGAAGCAGGGTAAAGAAAAAAAGGTCTCACCAGCTTAAACAATAATGAGTTTTGATTACATAATTGAATATGGCAGCTTTGGGGCTGGAGTGAACTAGCACGGCAAAGGTCATTCTACTTGAAACTCTAACTCATCCTCTCTCGCCTATCTAACCCGTTCATCAAGTTTCTTTTTACTTATTCAAAGTCATGCCCAACTTCAATGCGGAGTCCATATTTAAAGTGTAATTTAATATTGTCATTAAACATTTATTGTATGAGTCAATAATCGATCAATAAATTACGTACCACAGTAAATTACACTTCCTGATATACCATTATTTTGAAAAATCAAACAGAAAAAGAGGAAGATCATAAAGTCGGTAAAATTGTCCCGGTTCTTTAATTCACTTGCATGGCATCCAGGTTACGGTGTACCATTTGTTCTTTGAGGATGAGATGCGACACCTGCAACAATTTATTATTTGGTACTTAGAGATAAATGTACATCCAACAGGATACGATTGTTAAAAAATGGAAAATTTTAGGTTCAAATGCTAACTACTTGAAACGTGAAATCTACTTGCTATTCTCAACCTTTTATCCTTCTTGACTGATATCAAAGCAATTACCTTATCCAAAAATCTTTGTTCTTAACCAATCGGCACGCTGTTACTTCCCATACTCTTATCCTTTCACAAAACTTTTTGTTACTTAGTTAACAAAATTATGAACACAAAAGTCGTTTCTAAAAGTAAACGCGATTGTTGCTGATAAAGCAAGAATTTCTGATCTCACACAGAAGCAGCTTGCTCATTAATGCTCCTATAAAAGACGGCGCTGATAAGCGCGGTAGAATTTATAATGCTCATACCACTAAGGTGGCTTTAGTAGCTGCAAAATGGGGAGTAATAGCGAGATAAATTAAAGTATTCCAACGCAGTGTTTAAATAAATAAAGAAACGACGAACAATAATCCCTTCTGATAATGACTATTTGCATCCTAAATACCCTTATCACGCCACTTTGCTGATTTTGACCACTTTGCTAAAATTAGCAGAAGTTGACAGAGCAATCGCTATTTTACGAGTTTTTTGTGCGATAACCTCGATTAAGTACTGGTTTCTCCACGACATTAAAAAAGTCCAGTTCACGATAAGCTGAGATTACGTGATATAGCTCGCACATTCAGCAGCGGGTTCGCATGCACCGAATGTACCCAACTAGTAGATGAAAACAGATATTTAGTGAGTACGCTAAAAATTGACTAATAGGAAGGAGAGCGCTGATACCTTATTAAGAGTTTCTGTGAGTTTATGGACATTGCTGGCCCATTGATCCAGTTGCTCCAGATTTGCTTTTCGTGCTCTGAGATTCACAACACGTGATGGACGGTGGATCTTGGCGTCTGTTATTCCACCAGTTACAATGAGGTTGCAAAGGAACGATTCCATATCCTAAACGAAGGAGAATAATTACATAATGTAGATGAAGGAGAATAACTACATAATGTAATCTGAAAAAGATCCAGCATTATTTTTAGGGCAAAAGGCAATGAGAGTGTAATGGGTGACGGAATGGCTCCCAAAGCATGAAGGACCATTAAACGATCGAAAATTATAAGATGTAAAAAAAGACGTTTGCCAAAAAGTCCTGATTCCCTAGAGTGATAGATCTGATGTTCGAAAAAATGGAAAGAATGTAACCGGTAGGCTATCTCTGAAAAGTTTGTACTATAAAAGTTAAGTAATTCAGTAACTTCAAGAGAAATGCTATGAAGGGCTCCAAAACGATTAAGTAATCATAGGAGATTAAGGTGCAATGAAACGGAAACTTACATTCAAAGGAAAATCCAACAATTCGGCTAATCGATCAAATGTAATTTGGGTATAGTACTTTGAGATCATACGCATATTCTGGAAAATACACATATTGTCTCTTTGAAAAAGTAAAAGTAAAAGAGGAACTAACATGCTCTCCAACTCTCATATGCAAATCCTTCCATCTCTTTTCGCCATCTTTTCCATCAAAAATCTATAAAAATATCTCAGTAACAAAAGGGATGATCGCATAGTAAACGCTGAACCTACCCCAGTTCCAGGAGTTTTCTTCAACGTTTTCTCGTAGTGTCGCACAATGATATTCTTCC